GCATGCACAGCGGGTTGCGGGGACGACCACCAGTAGCCATCTCCCAAACCAGACTCGCCGGTGCGAAAAGCACGGCGTGCTCCTGGCGTAGCGGAGCCTACAGGCCGCACACCCCGAACCAGGTCCGCCGGTGCGCATGCACGGCGCATCTCCCTGGTGGTGCAGAGGCGACAGCCAGTAGCTATCTCCCGAACCAGCGTCGCCGGTGCGCAGAGCACGGCGTTTCATCCTGGTGTAGCGGAGGCTACAGCCCGCCAACTCCCGAGCCCCGGCGGTACGGCGCGTATGCGCGTATCCCCGACGGCGTAGTGGAGGCTTTTCAGTTCATAGCCGAAGGCCAGACCGAACCGAAGAGGTGGAAGGTGACGACGGATCAACGAGGAGGAGCCCCGGCAACAAGAGCAGCAGCGGAAACACCAGCAACGGAGGAGATATCCAGGACGGACACACCAAGGGTCACCAAGGACACACCAAGGGTCACCAAGGACACACCAAGGGTCATTCCCGGGAACCCGCATGAATCACAGTTGTAAACAGAGAGAGCAGAAAATAAAGAGACTACGCAACGTAAAGCTACTTGTATTATTTTCTGGGCTTGGGCAATCACGTCGAATCTATAAATTCGGTGGAACGGATCCGCGAAACTCTGTGAGCTAGCCGCGGCAAATTGTGGCGAGCGGAAGCAGAATAACAGTTCGTTACAAGTCATACAAAGAAAAACTGTCTTCGCACCCAAATTTTCTCGCTCGGGGATTGACTCGGGTTTCTAGCGTATCCCGCCTTAGACGCAACGACCTCCCAACCCAGCAATCGATTTTTAGGGCCGTCTAACTCCGTATCAGTCAATATGACTGTTAAGTTAAAAATATAAGATTTGATGCACCTCTTGTTAGTCTCGCAAAGAAAAGATTCAAGAAATAAAAGCAACGTTAAAAAAAAAAAAAACCAAAAAAAATTTTACGTTATTTTCAAAAGGAGGTGTAATATGCACATACATAGGAACACATATGTTGACCACCCACTGTACCAAGAGTACTTCAAGGGCGCACACTGTAGTATTTATGTTTGTTTATGTTATTTGAAACCTGGGTCATAAACCTTAAGTGGCCGAATTTCCAAATGCTCGCTGTGCCTTAGCCGCACGCCGAAACTGCATATGCAGCATAAATGTAATATGAGCAAACCACTTATATGTGCATAAAAAACCTCCGTTTAAGCGATTAGCTATATATTTAAGAATATATAACCATCTCTCTGCTGCCGCTGTTGGCGGCGCAGCTTCAAAACCTAGACTTCCCAACTCCTAGAAAATATTGTAAAGAAGAAGAACATTTTGGGAGCTCGGGGCGGCAACAACGGCTGCTCCAGAAAATCAAGACAAAAAAATAAAGAACTCAAAGAAATATTAAAAAAAATCGACTTATAACCAACCGGATGGGATCCCTGGACGACGAGAAACATTACACAAGGTGGGTAACACTGTCCCAGAAGAACGTGGCGTTCCCAAACAAGTTGATCTTCGATAATACTGAAGTCGCCGTAATGAGGAGGCTAAGAAACATAGATGAAAATGAGTGTGATTGTAGAAAGCTAAGCCTGAAGAAGGCACCCGTCCAATACCATTTCCAGCAGATTCGGCTTCCCAGGCAATCTCGTAACCTGCGAAGCCAGAAACCACCGTTGATGTGAAAAGTCGTTAATAAAGGAGAGAAGTGGGAAGGCAACAAACCGGATCAAGCCAGCGACGCAACATCGGCAGAAAAAGTGGGGAATAATCGATCGGCAAGTACTCGAGAGTGCAGTCACATCTTATTAAATATTTATATGCCATATTTTTCCGTTTTCTACAAATAAGATTTCAAGAGCATTATTCATACTCGGAGAATCCATAACAATGAGCCATCGATTTTTTTTAAAGAGATTCCGTCGTCGATGAATGCATACGTGTTGACTTGTCTACTTTTCCCATACAAAGTCACTGGCAGTACCCAGTACCCATTGCCAGGGTTTGGAAGGGTTCCGTGGTGCCACGATGTACCAGTGGATAATTCCGTTTCGGGTATCTATTCCGCAGTGGCTGACGCTGCACCTCGACAAGCAACCTCGCTCGCAACAATTAACCGCGGCTAGCTCACAGAGTTTGTGGGCCTGTTCGACCGAATTTATAGTTCGACGTGATTGCCCGAGCCCAGAAATAATACAAATAGCATAAAACTTTGCCACCTCTTTATTAAGAGGCTTTTCCCAAAATACAATATCTTGATCTGAATACTGGGTTCCGCTCCGTATTCTGGCTGCTCCTCCTGGTTCCGCCCGGGTCCGTCGTCGCCCCCGCTACACCGGACACCGCGCATACGCGCTAGCGCCAGAATTGGGAGTTCCATGCTGACTTCCACCTCCGCTACATCTGGACACCGCGCATACGCGCTAGCGCCAGGATTGGCAGTTGCCTGTAGTTGTCGCCCCCACTACACCTTGGATCACCGTGCATACGCGCTAGCGAACCAGGATTGGGAGTAGCCAGTGGTTGTCGTGCGAGTAAGTCTCTCCTTGTTTTTATTTTCAGGTCGTCCAACGTCTTTTTGTTGCGATCAGGAGTCGATAAGGCGTACACCAGACTTGTCCTTTCCTCACTTACTTGCAAGGCAACCTGCCGTGGTCGGGAATGGCCCAACTCAACTCCGATACCCTCCGAGTCCTTTTTAGAAACGCTCTAACACTAGAATGTCGGACTCTCCAAAAGCGGTCGTCCAACTCAATGCTACAGCTTGTAGGAAGCTGTGTTTAGGAAGCTCCTAAAAAGACTGTCTCGACTCGCTCCAATGGGCCTCCTTTTATACCTTTATAAGTAAAAGGATTCATAAGTGAGTAAACACCGGTTTACCAATATTTATCATTAACGCAGTGCGCACAAAAAAAACACGACCGTTCGCTTTAGAGGAAGAGACGAATTTTTTTGATCTCCTCACAGAATCTATATGTATAGATGTTTAGTGGTGAAAGGTAAATTAAACTGTGGGGGATAGATGAATACCGGTACTTACATGCGGAAAAATTTTTGAATCGTCAGTTGATCGCGAGTAAACTCTTTATACTTTCAATGCAAATGGTTCTTCATTCCAGAAATTAACGATACTCGTTCTTTTCAAATTCTTATTCGTTCGTTCTTATTATCTAGAAACTTGACTAGTATTATTTTATTTTCTCTGGTCCGGTTGATTGCGCATTCATTTCTACTATTTTAGAGCCTGTAATAATTCTTATTCTTATATATTTCAACTACAGCCCCAGTATAACGAACAAACTCAGCTGCCATATTCTACATGCTACTTTACAGAATTCGGATGAATATTTAAGTCCGTATTTATTTGATACGATAATATTGTCATGATTTCCACGAAGTGTTCACTCTGATTCTACGCTGACTCGAGGTCAACCCACATCTTACTCAATCCAGAATATAGATATTGATATTAAAAAAAAAAATTAAAATAAACGGAAGAGTCAAAGATTCGAGCGACCTGTTGACCTGTAAAATATAATATAATCTTAAACGTTGAACATAAAAATGATTAAAAATGATTAAAACTGAAAGGAAAACATTGTGAATGAATACAATTTTCTTTTAATAATGAGTGATTTCACAAAAATGTATATTAAACTTACACAAATACAAGATTATAATAATTTAATGTTTTTAAAATGGTTTAAAATTTAATTATAACCTTACAATTATTTTGTACATTTATTGATGTGTTGGGTGTGGAGTTATTTTACTATAACCATCTAGGGTAGTTTTTATGGATCTAAATAGTAAAGAACTATTCGAAAAAGCTTCCGTATCTTCTAAAGATTGGATAATTTTATCTAAGACTTTTAAATCGTATGTCTTGTTGCCTTTCATATCAATTGACTTTGGTAGAATATCAAGGCAAGCATTTAAAAGTCGAGGATACTTTGAAATATATTCAATGATTTCTATAGCAGACGGGCGAAAAGCTACTCCGTTCGACCAAATATCCGAAGCTGTAGTGAATAAGCCCAAAGATAATGTTTCTGGTGGCATCCAGCGAACTGGGAAAAGTTTTCTCATACCCTTGCGGTTATATCTATAATAATCACTTTCAAAAGTTGGTAGAGCCATGTTAAAATCTGAAATTTTTACGACCCTATCAAAATTTACCAAACAGTTTCGACATGCGATGTCTCTATGAACGTACTTTCTCTTAGCTAAATATGCCAAACCGTTGGCAATATCAATTGCGTAAAGTGTAAGGCGCTTGGATGAAATATCACTTTCATCAGAAATATATTCTCTAACCAAGTTTCTTCGAGCCAAAAGAAATGTTTTTAAATCACCATGTAACATAAACTCCAACACTGTATATATAAGTTCACGTTGCAAACAAACCCCTAAAAATTTTATTATATTATTATGAACCAATTTTTTTATAGCTTCCGCTTCTGTCAAAAAGTCGATACGATCTTCGGTAGATTGCCTCCGTACACTATACCAAATGCTCCTTCTCCTAATCGTCGGTTTATTACCACATTCTCTTTGGCTATTTCCCATTTATCTAAGGTATTTTTTTCACTCAATGTCGGAGAAAGAATGTCGATACCAAACATTTTCATTATCTGAGCCGTACGCTTTAATTTACGTTTGAAAAAGAGTTTTTATAAAATTAAAAAAAAAAAATAAACGATATAGATGATGCAAAAAGTATAAGTAAGTAATTATTATCGACGTATCACAACTAGAATTAAATAATCTCGCCAATATTAAAAATCGGCAACTAGAAGTGTTCACTCCGTATTCTGAGCTGACTCGAAGTCAACTCACATCTAACTCTGGATTGAGTTATATAGATATAACGATATTAAAAAAAGATTAAAATAAATGGAAGAGTCAAAGATTCGAGCGGCCTTTTGACCTGTATATTTAAAATATAATCTTAAACTTTAAACATAAAAATTATTGAAAATTAATAAATTTGGAAGGAAAAAATTATGAATGAATACAATTTTCTTTTAATAATGAGTGATTTTACAACAATGTATATTATACTTACACAAGTACAAGAGTATAAAATTTTTATGTTTTTTAAATGTTTTAAAATTTAATTATGACCCTACAGTTATTTTGTTCATTTATTGATGTGTTAGGAGTGGAGTCATTATACTATAACCATCTAGAGTAGTTTGTATGGATCTAAATGGTAAAGAACTATTCGAAAGAACCTCCATATCTTCCGAAGACTGGATAATTTTATCTAAGACTTTTAAATCGTACGTCTTGTTGCCTTTCATATTAATTGACTTTGGTGGAATATCAAGGCAAGCATTTAAAAGTCGAGGATACTTTGAAATATATTCAATGATTTCTAAAGCAGAAGGTCGATAAGCCGCATCTTGACTCCAACATGCCTGAATAAGTCTTTCCAGCTGGGGCTTAGCTTTAGAAGGTATATTTATTGTATTTCCACTTTTAACATAATCAAGAACCTGATTATTTGTCAGTCCTTGGTAGGGGTAAGCCCCAAAAGATATTAATTCATATAGAACTACTCCGTACGACCAAATATCCGAAGCTGTAGTGAATAAACCCAAAGATAATGTTTCTGGTGGCATCCAGCGAACTGGGAAAAGTTTTCTCATACCCTTGCGGTTATATCTATAATAATCACTTTCAAAAGTTGGTCGAGCCATGCCAAAATCTGAAATTTTTACGACCCTATCAAAATTTACCAAACAGTTTCGACATGCGATGTCTCTATGAACGTACTTTCTCTTAGCTAAATATGCCAAACCGTTGGCAATATCAATTGCGTAAAGTGTAAGGCGCTTGGGTGAAATATCACTTTCATCAGAAATATTTTCTCTAACCAAGTTTCTTCGAGCCAAAAGAAATGTTTTTAAATCACCATGTAACATAAACTCCATCACTGTATATATTGGTTCACTTTGCAAACAAACCCCTAATAATTTTATTATATTATTATGATCAAATTTTTTCATAGCTTCCGCTTCTGTCAAAAAGTCGATGCGATCTTCGGTAGATTGCCCAGATTTTAATGTCTTTACTGCCACAGCGATCCACTTATTTTCAGAAAATTTTGCTTCCCCTCCGTACACCATACCAAATGCTCCTTCTCCTAATCGTCGGTTTATTACCACATTCTCTTTGGCTATTTCCCATTTATCTAAGGTATTTTTTTCACTCAATGTCGGAGAAAGAATGTCGATACCAAACAATTTCATTATCTGAGCCGAACGCTTTAGTTTACGTTTATAAAAGTGTTTAAAAAAGAAAAAAAAAATAAACGATATAGATGATACAGAAAATATACAAAATGAAATTGTGACAATTATTAGGGACGTATCACAACTAGAATTAAATAATCTAGCCAGTATTGAAAATCGGCAGTCAAATCTACCATCTTCGGGAACTCGACCTGTTGGCCAATATATAGATGTCATATTCAAGAATAAATTTCCTTCACTAATACGAATCCCAGGCTTAACAAGTTTCGTAGGAGACTCATATGTTCCAATTCGGTGGAAACTAGTATTTCGCCACTGCAATAAATCCAAGCTAAGAGCACGTGACCCACCAGGTACCCCCCGTGTAAAATATACGTTCCCAGATAAGCCATTAAATCTTGTTTCCCAAATAATTTCACTAAACTTATTTATAACTTTTGCTGTTCTTAAATTGTTAAAAGCATTTTTGTCTTCAAGCAGTAACTTATGAGCGGCTAAGGCGTATGTCCAAACTGCATCATATGTAAAGCCAGAATAAGAAGACGGTTCGGATCCATATTGAGTTCTATATGATTCTTTCCAATCTTTTATTGTCCGGCCTTCTTGCATACGTGCCGAATAATTAAAAAATGGTGTGTGCATTATACTAAAATGACCATTTACTGCCTAAAAAAGAAAACAAAGGGTTACGCTTAAGCAGCAAAGATAAACTTAAAAGACGTACCTCGTGGAAATCTTGCGCACTACAGCTATCGTTAACAGTTATTTGCCAACCATAAAAGTCTTTTAAGAGTTCATGGGGAAGAAACCAAATATAACCGTACTGTTGAGTCATCTAAAATATGTTATGATTTTAATATATAAATGTATATATATATAAGAACACTTTTTTGATATAATACTTGCTTTTAATTTTAATGCTTCACATATTGTTTTGGCAGCAGTTGGATAATATAAGTTTGCAATTATAATCTTAGATCGAGCTTGATTTAATCTTTGAAGGTTCTAAAAAAATTTTAATGATTAATTCTTAGCGCATTCCGGTTTTAAAAAGTGACTCATACCTCTTTAATATGGGTGGGGTTGCAATTGGTGTCAATTTTAATATTTATAGTCAAAGTAAAATTTCGTTGCTTTAAATTTTCTTCTAATGTCGATATATATTCAACTGATTCTGTTTCATATAAAAAACTTACTTTACTCCAATCCAAGACTTTCATGATATCAAGATATGCACCTATGAAAATCAAATGGGATCCTATTGTACGAAAGAAGTATGGATAAGTTTTACTATTAACCAAATCCACACTTTCAGCGGAATAGGACATAACAATCATGTTCATATGCTTTCCAATGCCAACTATGGGTTCTACTGTTTCACTACACGCTGGCCCTAAAATACCCAACAAATTTGGTCTTGTATAATAGTGAATGAATGACTTAAGAACCATATTCGCTTGGCATTGACCATTGCTAGCTAAGATTTTCAAATTGTATCCTGGTAGTATTGATTGATTGTTATTAATAGCCATTGCTGCAAGTCTTGAAACGTTAAAAAGGTTTTCGTATCCACTTTTTGATACATTTAATGGAAATATACCACCAATAAAAATATTTTTAATAGGCGGTTCACTCTTTTCCCATTTTTTTAAATAATAAGTATTATTTAAAAGCCAATGGCAAGCCACAATGTTGAACAAATCATAAGTTAAGTTCTGTTTATGGCTTTCAAGGTCTTTCCAGATGTTTTCGATGTCTTCATCGCGCAAATAAAAATGATTTAGTGCGTGTTTTATTTGAAGGTCTGATTCCAAATTCTTTGAATAATATTTTAAAAAAGAAGTATACTCATATTTACAACCTGATTTATTTAATGACTGTATAAATTTGCATTTGGGTATTATTATTTCTGCGAAATTTGTTGCGTCATGGAACATTTCGGATGGGAGCCAGTGTAAAATAATAATTCTTTTGTGGCCAAGTGGGTATTTTTTTGCGTACTCTTTGATCAAACTTCTTACTTTTTTTTTAAAGTTATTTCCTAACCATATAACATTTACATAAAGTCCCATTTCTATTAATTCATTTTTTATAAAGCTTGTGTCATTTTCAAATTCTGCTAAAATTGTGACACACTTGCTTTCGACGCATTTCGGATTTTTAAATTGCACAACACTAAATTAAAAATAAAAATATTTTTCAAAAGGTATTTTACAATTATATAAATATTTACCTTGTAATATTGGTCAGTTCTCTAATATGTTGTTCATCAATTACGTATTGATCATAATAGGTATTACTTATATTGTTAAAAATATTAAAACGTAAGCTTTGTTGTGTTTGATGGAAGAGCCGTATATCCGGAAATGGAACGATCCAGCCATAGTGCCCAGGCCTAATTGAGTGTCCAGCATAGGATACATTCTCGGGTAATTTGTCAGAATAATTCATCTTTACATACATATTAATTATACTGACTGTTGGTTTTGTAGCATGTTGACTTGAATAATTAATTGAAAAGAACTATAAAAATATAATCAAAGTATTGTTGACATACCTTATGCTTTCTAATATTTTCCATTCATTAAACGTACTTTTTATTGGAATTATATAAACATTTTTATAGTTAAGATTATTAATCAAAAAAAAATATAATATCCTTGTCATCACTTGGTGAATGGGATTATTAGTCACTTGTAGTCCAATTCGAAGTTGATTTATATTGTTATCTTGTAAAGTCGAATCTGAAAAAAAACATTAATGCCATTTAAACTTTTTTGTATTTCATAATAAGCCTGCAGAATTCAATTAAATTTTTTATATCTAGTTCTGGTTGAGAACAAGGGTGATAGTCATAATGGTTTTCCGTAAAACTCGACCATATTGTGGCCAACTTATGTTGGCCTAATCTAACGACTCCCTTTGTGATTTGGATTTTGATGCGTTCGGCACTATTGCCATACTAAGGTTCAACCCAAAATCCGGTCGGTCGACAACAAATTCGACTTTTGGAAAGTGACTGGCTCATGCACACTGCTTTCCTACCAAATTAACTAGTTCGGCCGGACACAACTAGTCCTAAAATTATATCTTAAACTCTACACATTCCCCCACTCCATACATTCGATCATACAACTATCATACAATTTGCAGCAATGACATACATGTGCTTGTAGCTTAAGGCTCTAAACCGTAACTCCAGTCAAGTTGAACTGTTGCAACTAAACCTGCATTGCGCACACTTTCATACACGCACTGGAACCTGCTTGCTGAAGAATACACAAAAAGACCACCTTATATAGTGTGTAGGCTCCTCTTATCACTCACTTCCTAAAAGTCGGTGAAATTTCCTAATCTCCTCAAATAGCAACTGGACCTAAAATATGATGAGCAAGACCTCAGCATACGCACAGAACTAACTCCCTAAGGAATCCATTAAAGTTCCACATAAAAGGACCACAGATGGGCAAGCACGAGCCTCAACCTCAACCTTCAACTATTTTACATGTTTACAAGTTACCTTGTGTTACCTTATCCTGTCACACAAGTACTTGCTCATCCAAAATCATAGTACAGAATATACTAAGTCATAGTACTAAAAGGCCCAATTCGCCTCAAGAAAAAAGCCACATAAGTTCTTTTTAAAGGAATTATCTTATCAAATTTTTAAATATATTGCAGCTTGTTATTTTTTAAATTAAAATGAAGAAACAGTATCATATTTATTAAATTGCTATGTGTTGCATATTGCTTTTTTTCCGAAATTAAACCTAGAAATTAAACCTAAACCTTCCGACCTAGTAAACCCCTAGACGAGGTAAGTTACAAACTAACACAACGTGGAAGGAGAGTTCTTAAAAAAAACACGAGAAAAAAACATACTAATTTCGAAGCATAGAAAAAAAAGGAAACAAATTAAATTCATCCATTGAAGTTCGTTTTATCTTCCGCCTTCGCCGTTTCGCCTGAAACGATCAATGCTGCTCCTGACCGAAATATTTCAGTCCGAAATGTTTCCGAGTATTTCAGCTAATATCCCAGGTGGGCTAAAATAACATCCCAGGCTAATATTCCATAGGCCATAGTTCATGTTCGGAAGTATCCAACAACGTTTTGTTCCACCACGGGACCGTGGAACAGCGTGGAAACGGGCGCGGCATGATACACGTCTCTCTCGTTCGACCTTCCAGTTCACTCCCAGTCGTTGGGTATATACTGGATAATTGCAAAGCAATTAAAATAAAAATCAATTAAAATATTGAATCACTCTGATCCGAGGGCTAAGCAGCGGGGGCTGGAGGTCCAGCTGGAACTGAAACTAAAATCGAAATCGACGAGTGAGTTCGGTCAAAGAACAGGCAACATGGCAAATCGGTATGCTGGGTCCGGCAATGCCCGGCTTGCAAATCGGGGGTGGCTGGTGGAAAGCTTCTTAAAGCCGCCACCATGGTATCATCTCCTGGCGCAACCGTCATGATGGCACCTTCGGGTACGACTAAGAAAGGCAATCCTCTAGTAACTAGCTACAACGCCGCTAGAAAATTTAGGTTTAATTAAGAGAGGAGGCAATTCCTTCGAAGCCACGAGCGTGATAAGAAGACCAAGATCTCCAAATAAAAAGAACGCAGCAAAAAAAGGAACTTCGCCGAAATAGCCACGCAGTCGAAATTTCGAAATCCTGGCCAGGGAACCGTGGGGTGGTTCCAAGGGAGTGTCAGGGTTGTGGCTTGTGACGATGAGCGGTCGGTGAAGCTATTCGGCGGTACCAATGCTCGGAGGGGTCTATGAGGGCACTAAGCTCGTTGCGCTAAGCAGGCGTGACGTCCATTACGGAGCCAAGTCAAATCCTTTCGATGCTTCAGCGATGTAACCCTCACCTTCCTACGAAGGACTGAAGGGACCGACGAACCAGGCGGTCCTCATAAGAAAAAAGAATCCTTAGCTTCTATAGAGGTCGCTCACGAGGAGAAAACTTTGGATTTAGTTCTTCCACCGTAAGGGTGTACAGGTCCGACTCAGGAGGCGACGCAAAAACAGGAAAGATCCCAGAGGCAGCGTCGGCTGTCCTCTTGCTAGTCCGGGTGCTGTCGTCGTACATGGCCTACGGCCAAGGCCGGAACCCTCAGACGATCTAGTGGCAAAGCTAGCGTAAGATAGCGAAAGGCAGAATATTGGCCTCCTATTAGGGTGTGACTCCAATTCTCACCACACTCAGGGGACGAGCACAAACACAAACGACCGAGGTGAGTCTATTGTAAACTCTACGCTCAGGTTCTTCTGTTATAGGGGAAATGAAACTACTTTTATTATTAAAAACTGTAAATCGATACATTAGAATCCAAAAATATACTCAGCCCCGTATTTCATTGAAGAGTGTTAGATAAGCACTCATTCTCTTAACACAGATACATATACTGTGTTTATGCGCTGCCAAATTCACTCTTTCATTTCGTAAATTTAACCGATTCATATGTGCATAAACGCCATTTTGAGAATTCGGCAACACACGAAAGTTGATTATGATTTCAGCCTCAAAGCCGCAAAAAACTTTACGCTATGCAAATCAGGTGGACACAATGTGCATAGAAGTTGAGACTACACTTTGGCATCTCTACTAAAATCAAAAATTTTCCAAAACCCCAGGAAAACTAACTGGTTTAAATATTGAATATTTAATATTCTCAAATCCTTTCAAGCAAAATCACACCTCAGCCACCAGACTTATACAAACCGTAAAAGCGGAACCTTGTTCAGGGCGAAAGCCGAAAACGAGGAAAGCATCTGCTGAAGCTGCGAGGCTTAGGTGAATCCAATTCCAAGTAACAACCCTAAGCTATCTCAAAAAAGAAGATAACACATGGACACCTACACAGAAAGGGTAGTTCCACAGAAACTGTGTTCCACGCGGTCATCTCTAGGATAGAGTGCCATATTTTACCACGAATTTGCCCTAGTGGCCTTCCTGGACATAGAGGGGGCTTTCAACAACGTTCTCCCAAGCGTCATAACTGACGCCCTGACGTCTCTTGCCGTAGATGACCACTTGGTGAGACTCATTAATCAATTGATAACATGGATGCAGGGTAGTGGCGTATGCAGACAAAATTGCCATTATTTTCACCCGAAAATACCCTCACTCCCTTTGCGGCCTAAGCAAAGCTACAAACCCTGGCCAACTGAACACGCAGAAACGGGAGTAAACGTGCAAAAACAGCGCTAGCCCTCTTCAGTAGAATACATAAAATCCCACCACTCATCCCAACCACATCAAACAACCAGAGCCTCACCTTCGGCGGCAGCGCGAAGTACCTAGGGGGTACTAGATAGGAAGCTAAACTGGAATCTTAAAATAAAAGAAAGGTAAAAAAAACCCCCATAGCTCTCTTTATCTGCAAAAAAGCAAAAGGCCTAAAATGGGACATGTCCCCCTAAATTGTCCCCCTCACGGCCATAGTCAAAAAGAAAACCACCTTAAAAAAGTTTAAAAAACTCCTTTCCTCCTTCTACTATTGTGGATCAAACAAAAACTCCCTTAAGCATCGTCATTTCCAAAAGGGAGGAATGGGGTGCTGAAACCCCGTCCCAAGAATGCAACATGCTTCTACACAGTTGGCTTAAAACTAGAAAAGAAAAGTAGGAAGAGGTAGGACTCGGAACATTTGGGCATCAGAGCCTTCTTTAGACTACCCAATCACTGCAGCGTCTTCGAGGCTGAAGTGATAGCAATAAGATAAAGATCTAAATTCTTTCAACCCCGCACGTAGCGAAGTCAACATATACAACAACAGCTAAGCGAAATCGATCAACTCCATCAGCAGCAACTCAAAAATAGTCTCAGGCTGTAGATCATCTCTTCACGAGTATTCAGTATTCAGTATGACATCAGCCTCATCTGAGTCCCTGGCCACAGGGACGTTACAGGCAACTGCACAGTGGAAGAAATGGCTTGCATAGGTTCCACTGCAGTCTGAAATGGAGAGTACTGGCATACCAATAGCCTTTTACAAACTCCAGCTTAGGGAAATCAATAAGAGACAAATTTAACTCCACTGCAAATCTGTTAATCCCATTTAAGGATAAATGGGAACCGAATCAGAATGGCTATTAGAGTCATCGCGGGGCACTGGCGAGCGGGAACACATACTTGGCGAATGAATTCACCTCATAATGACTAGGTCTAAATGCGTCTGTTTATGCTTATGAAAACCGACAGCCGTCGCAACCTAATCTAACGTAAATGTTACGTTAACTAAATGTTAACTAAATGTCCAGCAGATTTCTGTGAGTTTTGGTCCCAAATAGAAAAGCTATATTACTTTAAAGATGTTGGTTATTTTAAGGGGTTATATACAGTTGTGATATATGAAAAAATCGATTTTTTTTCATTGCATATTCTTTAAGTATATTCTATTGGGAATACTCTCACAAAAATTCAACGATCGGAGCATTGGAACCGAAGCTGTAGCTATTTATAGCGCTCTATCTGCATATAAAACTTGAACAAACTTGAAACTTTAAACGCGATTATCTCAGAATCTTTTTTTTGGGAAATTACCTTTGCGGTGGACACGATTACTAAGAAACTACTAATCCGATCAACACCAAATTTTGACCACTTATTTATTATGATATTAGCTAGTCCGTGAACGAGGGATTTTCAATTTTTTTGAAAACTCCTTTTTTAAAGCACAAAAAACGAAAATCTTATACCTTGAAAAAGTACATTTTATGTTAAAAACGTCGC